TTTGGGCAGAGAGGAGAGGGGAAGATGAAGGAGACGGTAGGTTTAATAGCGGCGTGATATCGCGTCAGCCGACGTTCAAGGGATTGCGTTTGTGCGATTCCGTGTCAACGATCCTATACGGTTAAGAGGAGATGCCAAGTGGCGCCCTCTCGATGCGTCTGACGGCTAGCGCGATGATGCGCTGCCTGTGACGTTTGATCTTTGGACACCGAGGTCCCTCGAGTTTCTCCGGTTTCCCATTACACCTGCCTCGTCGTGCTGCTCTCTCGTAGCCCGCCCTTTTCTCCACCGAGTGTCGATCGATTCCAGTCGTGAATCGATAATCCGATCGTTTTCGTAATCGATCGAGCGTACGACGCACGTCGGATCGAATGTCGAGAGGTATTCTTATGACGAGTTGAAAAAAATATACACGGTTGTTGGTCTGCTTAAAAACGAGCTTTCTTATTTTTTTTGAAACATCGACACATGGGTGCATTCCTTGCTACGTATTTTTAAGTTCCCCAATTGAGAATAGAGAATTATTGCAATTATTTATACAATTTTTTATTTACAATTTTATATAATTGCAATTAATACAATTTTTTGTATATCGAATATCAATTAAATGCAATGTTGATTTTATGTTAAACACATTTTTGACGAAACAGTAAATTATAGAATAAAAATATTGTTCCGTAAAAATTAATTAAAACCGGGAAAAAAATAATTACATTAGCGTGCAGCGTTAACGAAAGAAAAATAGATAAGAGATAATTCAGGAATTCTCTTCGAATAATATTCCATTAAAGTTTCGTAGCCTTGCGATTCTGTCGTTAATCGACTCAAAGTTGTTTAAATGAATCGATGATCCCCGATCGTCTTTGTATTCGTCGAAACATACGTCGAATGGAATCTTTGGAAACAAAGTTCATCCGGATTTGAGAGAATGGTATGCGCCAGAAATTAACTTTTCTTCCAGAATAGTCTTGCATGCTACGATTCTGTCGTTAATCGACTCAAAAGTAATATCCTCGTCTGAAATGAATTGCGAATCGATAATTCGATCGAAATATTCGTCTTGACTTTTCTTCGAGTGGCTTGATATTATTATTTAAATTGGTTATTTGATCTTTGGCCGTTAGAGTCTCATCCTGCTCGTGTAAATCGACTCGAAAATGGTATCCACGTTTCAAATTGTGAAATTCATTCATTCGACAATTCGATCGTTTTCGATTGAAAAATGACGAGTCGATAAATCCGATCGTCGATGGAACGTCCATTTATCCGTGCGCCAACAATTAACTTTTCCTCGAGTGGCGTGTATGGTATATTTAAACAAAGGAGGAATATATTCGTCCTTTGGCTGGAAGGAAACGACCGTTGCATTTCAAGAATGCGCGATTAGTCTCTTTTTAATCCTGGCACGTGTTTAATAAGCGCGGTATTATCCCTTCTGTCGGATGAAGAGGTCGGTTAACGTTGCAGCCCGGAATAACTTGTTCCTCGTCGCTGCTCGTAAAAAAAAAAAAGAAAAGAAAAAGGAAGAAAGAATCTTAAAAAGTTCTCGCGACAACGAGCACAGTTTTTTAATCCTTCCACGGACCTAGAAATAATACACGTCAAGGTATCCATTCTCCTTGCTTCGAAGAATTAACGATCGCGGTTCGATGTCTCGAGATTTTTCGGATTAAAAAAAAAATCAGAATTCAAAGAGAGGCAAAACAGGACAAAATTATTTCTTCCCGATTTTGAGCCTATATGAAGATTTAATTTTTAGATATTGCTTTTTATTATAATTTATTATTTTGTTAAAAATGTTATATATAATGTAAAAATATAACTAAATATATAAAAAATATTGAAATATGTAGGAAAATATAATTTAAAATAAAACGTCGCAACGTTTCATATTTCGAGTCTTTATTTATGCTGGATCTCGTTATCTCCAATTAATAAGAGCGCAGTATTGATTAGATATTGAATAGGTTCCTTATTTTAAAATGGAAATAAAATATTCGATTTTAAATTCCTCTAGAACTACGATCCTGAATGATGATATCCATCTTGTTAGTTCAGATTCGGCAAAATTCGTGGGAAAAGTATTATAGTCTCGTAAAGTTTAAAAATCCTAAATAAAAATAAATTTCGAAAATAAAATTATTCGCTCGAGCGAAATTGATTTCGAACTGTTGAGAAACGAGATCGATCGTATTCATCGTATCATAGATAGTGAGAATGAAAGCAGCGATAGAGATAACGACGATAGTAATTAAAAAGTGTAAGAAATTGAAAAATTAGAATGATAGATCTGATAGCGATGCCCAGCAAGATTTTAATAATTCATAATGGAATTTGTGAAGAAATCTAATGATTTTATGTTATCCGAAATATATATATATACACGTAAATCATCGTTATTTTCGACTCGAAAATAATCCATCGGAATAATTCGGTTAATTTCTAATTAAAACCGGCTGCAATATGTATTTGCGTTTCATAAGCGGCGCTCATTTGCTTTATAACGTTGGGACAGAAGCAATTAGACGCGAGCTGTGATTTAAGTGTACATCACGAAGACGGCTGCCACGCATCCCTGGTATCTTGTGTAACTCCATTTATGCATGTACACACAGCTGTACCAATGCATGGGCAATAAGGGGGATTGATCGACAGCCATTTTGAAATTCAGTACTATCCACTCGAGGAAGCAAACCCTCCTCTTCCCGTGCTACGTTATTGCCTCCTCGAGTCTTGAAAGGAGACTGTCATCGATCCTTCCCTTTTTCTTACGGAGCATCAGGCAGGCTGGAGGAAGAGAGGGGGAACAGAACGATCGTCAACTTGGGTCGTTCGCTCGACGAATTAACGCTCGACGAATTAACGCTCGACTCACGGCGAGCGTCGCTGTAAGCACGTCTGATGGATACTCTAACGCGCGTGCGTTATCTTCAAATTAAATTAACCGAATTTCGGTTAGGAATTTCGTTCGCTTTTCGGTTGTTTCGAATAGTTTAGAATTTTCTCCGTCTCGGGGAACGAGAAGAGGCCACAGAGACGAAAAGATTCAAGTTTTTTTTTCTCGTTTCCTTTTTGATACGAGAGGATGTTTCGAAGATGGAGCGCAAACTTTGTGTATTTTTCTTCTTTTTTTTTTTTCGTCTTCAAAAATGAAAAGAATATCACGATGATAAAAGTCCACGGAATATTTCTCGTTTATCCCGATTCTTCGAACGATTCTTGGCTCTTTTCGAAACAGTGTACAAACGACATCATGACGTATGTATTTCGTTTCGTTTGTCGTTTGTACATACGGGATATTTCGAAGATACAGCTAAATTTTGATGTCGGGCTCTTTGAAAGAGCGACAGAAATAGAGATTCGCCACCAAAACATTTTTCATCTCGACTTTTCGATTGCTTGACTTTTTTCTTCTTCTTCTTCTTCTTCTTCTTCAATTTTGAATTATTCATTTTTTCGAAGCACTTTGTATAAACGACGTCGCTCTCGCGATGCATACTTTCTTAAACCAAGCGAATTCGTACGAATTTCCTTTCTATAGCTATACGTGTTTCGAAGATAGCTAGCTAGCTAGCCAAACTTTCCAACTATGAAAAGAGGTCAGAAACACAAGTCCACAAAAGAGTTCTCGACTTTTTGATTGGTTGGTCTTTTTTTTTATTCTCTCCCTCTCTCTCTTTTAACCTCTTACCTCTCTCCTTTCGGAACACTCTGTGCACAAACGGTGTGCGCATCGCTTCTCGTTTCCTAAATGAAATAATTTATTCTGCTTCGCTTATTTTTTTTTTTTCAACTTTTCTATTACCCGTACTCCCGTGCTGCGACAAAGATTAAATATTAATATCGAATTCTGCTCTCCACTGCGTGTCGAATATCAGTGGCGGCTCCGCGAGGAGGAGGAGGAGGAGGAAAAGGAGGAGGAGCAGGACATTTCGAAAGTTTTTATCGCGCGCACGAGTAGCAGTGTGAGTAGCAAGTACCGACAGAATGGTTCAACGAAGAGAATAAAAAGCAGAGTTCTCCACTCCGGCTTTTTATGTATTTCTCTTGGAACGAAATAAGACTTTTTTTACGAGACGCGATAATGCCAAGGCATGGAAGCGAGTATTACTGTGTAGCGTTGCTGTTTTTCAAAAACAGTCGTTCACGCCTTCCCCTGAAGAATCCTCTGAGATTCCAATAACGATCGTTCAGTCGCGATTCGTTAATTCGAAATTATTCACGTTAGAAGTTAGAATTTTCGTCGATTTACAAAATTTCGATTCCCGTGGAGAAACGATTCCGAACGAAAAAAAGAGAAAAAGAAGAGAGAAGACTTTAAATGGAGAGTGGAAGGAGAGATTGAAGAAATGTGCAATCGTGGTGAAACGTTGGCAAGTTTTTCCGCACGCATTACCAAAAAAAAATAAAAAAATAAAAAAATAAAAAAATAAAAAAATAAAGATACTACGCCAGTACTTCGGGGTTGGCCTTCTTGGTTGATCCTCTTTTCACGGGGACTGTCTCCATAAAGGCGGCGATATTTTACGAGGATGGAATCGGTTGTCGACTCGAACCTGGGCTCGCGCAAGGATAGAACGCAAAGGCGATTCGCGGCTTAACGAAATCCCATTTCACCGCCTCTCTCCCCTCTCCCTTCGTGTTGGCGTTGCGCGTGGCCAACTATTCGCGAATCCCACGTGAATCTACACACAGTCGTGAAAATTGCGGAAAATCCCTTCGCCTTCTTCGTCTCGTCTCTTTTTCCTTTAGCGTTTTCTCGTAAAGAGAATAACATTTCGAATAGAACGACTCGAGAGAACGTGGAGAAAGTAGATAATCCGAATATCGACCAGGTTTGGATTTCGAACGATATATATATATATATTTTTCTCTCTCTCTCTTTTTACGAAGAAGAAATTACGATAAAGGAGGTGAGGATCGTATCGATGGAAATATCAAGAGGAGAGGAGGGCAGGGATTTTGAATAATATCCATCGTAAATAACGATGATGGCTTACCTGTAGAGAGGTTCGCCGCTGTCCTCTTTGAACCAGAGCACCATGGAGACGGCATCGTTCGGCTCACGGGGTTGTATATTACAAGGCAAAGTTGCCCTCTGTCCTGCCACTCCCTGTATCGACTCCATGGGTACTGTAACACACGTATAAGAAGGGGACGTTGAAAAATCTTTTTTTTTTCTTTTTTTTTCTTTTTCTTTTCGTCGCTAGCGAAGAATTATAACTTGGCGGGGGGAATTATACGATTTTTCGAAAAAGAAAAGAAGAAAGAAAATACGAGAAAGAGGATCGAATTAAAGAAAGATAGGAGAGGGGAAAAAGAGAAGAGAAGGAAAATTCGAAAAAAAGTTGGAGCGCAAAATGAACGAACCGCAAGTGAAGTTTCCAGTAATTTTGTCCAGTTAAACTCGTAAATGAATTTCGCTGTTTTTTTTTTTTTTTTTCTTTTTTTTTTCGGTCGAGAAATGAAATGAACGTATCGACGTTTAGTTTAAAAACCTTTTATCGAGAGCGGGGCAGGGCAGGGCCTAGAGTACCTTCGAAATTAAGAATTACGACGAGCCTGGAGGTTATGGATATTTCTCCCGGAAAGAGGAGAAATTGGCCAAGATCTATCGCCGCGGAACGGTGGAGTATCGGAGGGTTCCGTTAATAGGGCGGAAATAATTCATCGATTTTCACGTATTCAATCTTATATTCTCGAGGCGGCGACACGAAATATACTTTAACACTCAGACCGGAGTTAGCACTACTGCACGCGCGTCCACTAACCGTCCTCGTTAAATCCCCTCTCGCGTTAAGCCGATGGTGAAAAATTGCCCGTGATAAATTATTTTTCAAATCTGCAATATATGTTTCAGGTGAAACATTCGCTTTACGAATCGAGAAGATTCTTTTCTTCTTTCTTTCGAAAATAATCGTTTCGTGAGTGGAACGAACGATGAGGACGAATCGAATGCAGAGAACGTCACACTATAATAACTCTCTCTCTCTCTTTCGTCGTTATTTTCTTTAAAAAAGTGAACGTTCGTCGTACTAAGCCGAGTCGTATAATAATAGATGTAAACACACAGATACGTACACGGAGACAGAAGGTTTCGAAAAGGACGCGTAGTGGTAATAATAATCCGCGGTTGTGAAGGTTATAAAGCGAATCGGCGGTTGTCGGTGGTCGGACGTGAAGTGGGCACTCGAGCATGGTTCACGACACTCGGCGTTCCTCTCCTTTCCCGCCGCCACTACCGACCACTACTTTCGCCAATAATACAATTTTTATCGGGCAACTTGGCCCTCGCGTTCGTATGAATAATCCTTCCAATTTTTTTCTTTCTTTTTTTTTTTTTTTCAAAGTTTTCAAAGAGAGAGATTCTCGAATTTGTCTCGCTCTCTCTCCCTCTCCCACTCGGTAATTAGCCGAGCATCGATCGCTCAACAACGACCACGACGACGACGAGTCGTCGTCGTTGAATTAACGTCGATGACTCGCAAATATTTACGATACGAGTCGGTAAATCTCGTTCCGCGAGAAATACCTCGTTATCTCGTTCCTCTGTTATTTATTTATTTGTTTATTTATTTATTTATTTATTGACGCAAGCGATTCGCGATACGCGATAAAACATTGTCTTGAAATTAACACGAATAAGAAAATAACACGAAAATAGTTAATTTGTGAGAAGGAGGGAGGAATCGAGTTCGGAATATTTTTATTCGGATATTTATCGATTTTTCATCCTTATTCGATATTTCCTATACATATATATATATATATGTTTATTTATTTATTTATTTGCATAGTGTTATTGAAAGAGAAGACGCGGAATGAAAGAGAAACGAGAGGCATTCGTTGGAATCTTTCAAGATGATACGGATTCCGGGAGAGTATTCTCTGGCGTCCCCGTAAAATGAGTTTTCCCAGGGAAAATGACAACATCGTCGCGGAGTTTGTCGGTGAAATTCGTTTAAGTCGATGTCGTGCTCGGTCGTCGCCGAGGACGACGTTTCGAGTCTCTGTGCATTTTGGCGCGGAAACACGTATTGCATTTACGTCCGCGTTACAACGACTTTATGCAAGTACGTGCTTCCTCAGACTGTTACGCGGTAATGCGGAAATTCGTTTTGCCCGCTAGAATTGTAGAAGTATCGCCGACATTAGCTCTTCCCCTCCCCCTCCCCTCCCAATTTATACACGGTCGAAATTTACATTTGAAAAATTGGGAAAATTGGCCGTTGAATTGGTCTATTTTCGTTCGTCAACTTGTCAAATTTTCGAAAGTAAAAGAATCGATCGTTCGAATTTTGATCAAATATATACGTATATATATATATATTTTTTTAATGCATTCCATGCATATTTTTAAAAATTGCCATCAATTTATGATTGATTTTTACGAATTAAGATTCGATTCTTCCTGCAAAACAGATTTGTTTCCCAATTAGCTCGAATAATCACTATTTTAGTATGTATTTTAAAACGAAATGCTCGTTCATTTTGCGATTGTCTGTGTATACATATATGTGCATATCCTTATCGTACATTACGTTTCGATGGCGCGTGTCGAAAGGATTGATCGATTCAAAATGGGTATAATAAAGGGGTTGGATTAATTTGCCCACTCATCGCGCGCTTCATTACAGACCGGTATAACGAGATCTAATTATAATGTAGATCGAAAACTATTAGGCTCGCATTGTATTGCACACGCAGGATATATTGCGCGCGGAGACTTTTCCCCGTGTCTGCCCCACAGGGGAATTTAATTTAAATTCTTTGGAAAACAATGACGTTGCGCGGCACCGTGAAGCGGTCATATAATAAACCGAGTCTGCTTGTGACACTTCTGTTGATGAGTATAATTACCGCGACGCTAAACTCGGACCAGAATTTTCCAAGCCAACCTACCTTCCCGTCCCCATTCGCCCATCCTTTCACCACTCCAATCTGTCCCGTATACGACAAATTTTTGTCACACCCTAGATCTTCTTGCTTGTTGTTTCACTCGACTAATTTCGTCCATCTAGTCTATACGTTGGCTTGTTCGAAAAGTAGTTTCGTTTTTTCACACGAGCGTCGCTAGTCGTACTTTTTATCCAGCCAACTTCACTCTAAACCGTGTTGTACGTTGTACTATACGTATTGAAAGTTGGCATTTCGTGGTTTATTTGCAAGAAAAATTCGTTTGATTCTGTGCGGTTTGTGTTTTTCGTATGCGTGATAGCAAAGATACAAGATCGAAAGGAGCATTCTCGGCATATTTTACTTTTTTGTTATCGAAAATATGAGAATATTGTTCAGGTAAGAAATTCTATTCATGACTTGTGCTATTAGAGATTTTGAATCGACTATTTATTTGCATTCTCTCGAGGAAGGGAATAAATTTGAGAATAATAGAGCCCCTCGAAATTATTCTCAAGAATTATTTTTCGCGTTATTATCGTATCGAGATTGAACGGGATTTACTTTGAGACGAATACTCTCTCGAGTATTTCGCTTTCTCGAAATGTGTATATACGCGTTGATACGGGATGCTTCTCTCGCAAGTCTCATGGCAAGCAGTGCCACTACGTAGTCCAAATACATCGCGTGGCGATAACTTCACATTTGCGTGTACCATCATTCGTAAAGCGACTGTGAATCTTGCAAATACGACCCCTTTCTAGTAATCGACGACGACAGGAATGGCTATCGTCGCGCGTTTCATTGATTATTGCATGGTACACGTAAACAGTACATTATTACCGTTGTATTTATGATCTTGTAAAGCGAAAAAGATATATCGTCGATATTTAATAATCACAAGAATTCGAAAAGAGGAAATGAAAGAGATGGATATTCTCTCTCTCTCTCTCTCTCTCATGTCCAAGTTTCGAAATTTTCTTTCAACTCTCTGGTTGGGAAAAGTTGTTGGTCGAGCAACGACACGACTTCCTTTTCGTCTGGAAATAATTCTGGCTGGCAAAGGATAAAGATATATAAACGATGAATCGTTCTCTTACCTTTGGAGGGGTAAAAAGAAAGAGAAATTCCGTATTTATAACGGGGGGATACCTTTCTCCCGCCGAGGAGGGCTGGCAAAAAGAATAGGCCAAGCAGAATATCTTTCCTGCCTCTTTATGTCCGGTCGCCGAGATGGAATGGCGGGAGGGGGGCGCCTGCGAAAAACGGGTCGTAAAGGTTTCGCCGCAGCTGGCTCGCATACATTACGCTGGCAGCCTTTATTCCGCGGGAAAGGAAAAATGGAGCGGGTGGGGAGGGAGGGAAGGCGAAAGTTTTTGAAAGATGGCTGGAAATCTAACGGATGGATGGGAAGGGTGGGGGAGGAGGGCCCTGTTGTATCGGTCGACAAAGAGTGCAACGCCACCTATACCTCGGACGGCCACCGATACCCGTTCGAATTCAACGGGTTTTCCTTCTGACGAGGGAGAGTTTGACTTTGGAGAAAGCGACGATGGGAGAGTAATTGGACGTGACTGGAGAGATTGGAGAGAACGGACGAGAATGAAGAACGAGTGGCGAGTGAATCAACATTGACGAACGAGGAGGAAATTAAAACATCGATACCAGGAAAAGTTGAAAAGTTATAAATGGATAAATTTTTCGCTTTTGATGAAGTCGAGAAGAGGAAGGAAGGAAGGAAGGAAGGAAGGAAGGAAGTTTGGTATCGAGGCATCTTCGAGAGTGAATCAGCTTCGTTACATAATTTTCGTGGGAGAAATACATGGTGGCAAAATGGTGGTAATTTTGTTCGCAGGAAATCGATTCCATTCTCCCAAACTGGTGAAAAGTTGCTTACCGCGATTCTTTTCGTATTTTTTCGAGCGTCAGCTATGAATTGCGCGTATGAATTTTGCTTAACACGTTGAAACACGTTTTCCCATTTACGAGTGTTCAGAACCTGTTTCGAAAGGTAAACGGAAAAAGCTTGTTGGAATTGCGGTTAAACGGAAAGGCAAGAAATATTCTCGAAACGAATACGATGCAGAATGAGAGAGAGAGAGAGAGAGAGAAAAGAAAAATGATATTTTAGAATCGGTAATGTTCGATAAATAAAGAAAAATCGCTTCGAAAATATTAACTTTCCGTTTCTTTTTTTTTTTTTTTGCCTTCCGTTTTTTATTTTCGTCCTTCGAATA